AAATTTCGAGCAAAACGAACTTGGTTCCAGGTTTCTGGTCTATTTTCAGGAAACAAAATTATTCCCTATCATTCAAAAATCTATCTAAATTGGCCACTGCATTTGTAAGATACATATATTTTTTATATATTATTAAATATAAATAAATTTTAAGTTAATAAGATTTTTTCGAATAGGTCAGTCCCTGGTCTGGGAAAAAAAATTTCGTTCAAACCTTTCCAGAACGCTTAAAATCTATCTGATAAAATGTACTTTGTACAACTTTGTGAGATCTATATACTACTTTAAGCAAAAAGTAAGGTGAATTTGTTTGTAAAATTAAAAATCGTTATTTATGCTTCTACGTCGATTTCGTCGCTTTCAAATAGTCCCCTGCCGATGGCCTTCAGAGAGCGCGCCGATTCACGTTTAATCTCTTCAATCGCCTCAAAACGGTATGCTCGAAGTGGTCTCTTGAGTTTTTGGATGAGCCAGAGGTTACATGGTGCTATATCCGGCGAATACGGTGATTGGGGAGCGAGATTCGTGGAATTTTCAGCGAATTGGTCACTAAGAATGAATGCTGAGTGTATTATCGTGATGCAAAAACCACGAAGGCACTTTTAGTCGTTTAGTAAACAAAAGCGTAACTAAAATACCAATGATGACATTATTGGGTACGTTCAGAACTGAACGAACTGAGCGCTCAGTAAACATGCTCAGTGAGCGGACCGTGAGCGGACCGTGAGCACAATGATTAATTAGCGCTCAATAATCAATCACAGTGAGCGCTTATCATATTTGTGAGCGTAAAATTTTTATGCTACTTGCTACTGATCGGTCAACAGATGTACATAGAAAAGATGAATCGCGAAAACTTAAAAGTATATTTACTTGAAAGTGCTTGTAACGACAATTAACTAGATTTTTTGGGTTGTCAAATAGATTTAGTTTCGCCAACTGCGCTAGATAAATAGTTTTTTCAAAAAAAGAAATTTAAAAGAAAGGACCAAACATTTTTATGAAGACACTGTGCCACTTCACAATTAGTTTCGGCAGTTGAAGTAGCAATTGATGTGGTCGTTTCGGCACTTGTCTATGTATAAGCCGCTTCCGAACGGCCCATGGATTTTTATGATAAGCTATTATATTATTCCATGTCAGAAATACACTCCGAGGTCTCGAATTTCACTGTTGTTTCTATAATTTTGGATGTTGGTTGAAAGAGAAAAAGTTGGATTTTTCTCAAAGCTAAGCCAAGCTAAAAGCAGCTGAACTTTTTTTCTGAAAAAAGCTAAAACAAAATAGTTTAAATGGCAACACTTGTTCGCCCACCATAGTGTAAATAGCATTGTTTGAGTACTTGAAGCGCCACAGCAACAAGATTAAAAACAAACGACAGTTATCTGTCGTTCGCAACATCTATTTTTCGCACAGACTCGTATTTCTCAAGTTATTTTTACACACATTCAATCACTTATTAGCGCATTCAAAATAGAAACATATATACGGTTATATGTATATAGCATACAAGTATATCACATTACTATGCATATAGGTACATATTCATGTACATATACATATATTTATTTATACAAATTCAATTTGCTTTAGAAAACCAGTTTTTAGCGCATTCAATGAACAACTAATCGGAAGTGTTTTTATATGTATAAATTTGTTATCATTTCTCTGTTATCAGTCGTCTATTATGAATTTTGCAAACAATCGTCATAAAATAAATGCAATTTAAGGCCAATATTTACGTATATTCAACAACTAATTGGGCGCAATTAAGGTAGTAATCTTCTCGTAGATTCGGATCCACAATATTTATGAGCTTAACCTTTGGGAATCATGAACAAACCACTGAAATTAGGTGTTTATTTACTGGTTAACGATTAAAAAAGGGAAAAATTTAAAAATTTCTTTAAAAAATGAAATAGTTAACATTCTATATTACATATTATATATTAGGTTGTCAACTAACTCCCTTCCGCTTTTTTGTCTTTTGAATTTCGCGGCTATGTACAAAGCGCTACAGAGCTCGTATCTGGCAACACTATACATAATTTGAAAGGTCTTAACATGGATATTGCGTTCAACAGTTATAGACGTGTAAACATGGAGTTCACTAACGCCGAAATTCGCGCTTTTTTAAAGTTTTCCTTCGTTAAAGGCAAATCCGCTAGAGAAACGTTCCGTGAGATTAATGGTGTTTTGGGGGATGGTACTCTATCACTTCGAACCGCGGAGGAATGGTTTCGACGATTCAGAGCCGGTGAAAACGACACCATGGATAAGCCAGCCGGCGGAAGACCTGTGACGACAAATACCGATCAAATCATGGAATACATCGAGTTAGACCGGCATATGGCATCTCGTGACATCGCCCAGGAGATGGGAGTTAGTCACCAAACCATTTTGAACCATCTGCAGAAGGCTGGATACAAAAAAAAGTTTGATGTTTGGGTGCCGCATAATTTGACGCAAAAAAACCTTCTGGACCGAATCAACGCCTGCGATATGCTGCTGAAACGGAACGAACTCGACCCATTCTTGAAGCGGATGGTGACTGGCGACGAAAAATGGATCACATACGACAATATCAAGCGAAAACGGTCGTGGTCGAAGGCCGGTGAATCGTCCCAAACAGTGGCCAAGCCGGGATTGACGGCCAGGAAGGTTTTGCTGTGTGTTTGGTGGGATTGGAAGGGAATCATCCACTATGAGCTGCTCCCATATGGCCAGACGCTTAATTCTACCATCTACTGCGAACAACTGGACCGCTTGAAGCAGGCGATCGACCAGAAGCGTCCAGAATTGGCCAACAGGAAGGGTGTAGTGTTCCACCAGGACAACGCCAGACCACACACTTCGTTGATGACTCGTCAGAAGCTACGGGAGCTCGGATGGGAGGTTTTATCGCATCCACCATATAGCCCGGACGTAGCGCCAAGTGATTACCACCTGTTCCTGTCCATGGCGAATGCCCTTGGTGGTGTGAAGTTGAACTCAAAAGAGGCTTGTGAAAAGTGGCTGTCCGAATTCTTCGCAAATAAGGAGGGGGGCTTCTACGAGGAAGGTATTATGAAGTTGCCGTCTAGATGGAAACAGATCATCGAGCAAAACGCCGCATATTTTAACTAAATCCGATCACTGTAACACTTTTTATAAAGCATTGAATGAAGAGCAAAAAAGCGAAAGGGAGATATTTGTATATATATATATATATATTTTTGTTAATAATATAAGAATATCAGTAAGTGCTCCCGTTAATGATAATATGATCTTAGGAGAATTAATTAGGCACTTCACGTGAAATTTCTGACCCATCGATAGTAAAATTATTCATATTTTCATTGACTGTTAAGCATTATTCGTTGCTGTGGAATGACGGAACGAAATACTCTCTTTTATTAATTTAATTTTTTCATCCAACGCATATGTACGAGGTGTGACAATAAAGTAATGATAATGATTATATTGCCTTGAAATTCTCTTTCCCTTCTCCCGGCATCCTTCTCCATTCCATTGATATATTTGCCATCGGTCTAGCTTGTTTAGTACGCCTGCTGTATCGTGTTGAGTAAACGTGTGTTTGTGGTGCTCGTCACGAAAATGGAAAAACGAAAACAAGAGCAAAGCGTCGCGATAACATTTTGCGCCAAATTGGGCGAAACAGCTGTTTTTTTTTCAATACAACCCGGAAACCAAAAGCCAAAGCTCACAATGGTTGTCTCCACACGCCCCCTGCCCGAAAAAGCTCACATGAGCAAGTCGAAGGTGAAAACGATGATTATTGCCTTTGCTTTAATGGCCGTGGAATTCATTCACAAAGAATTTCTTCCACCGGGGTAAACCGTAAATCAAGTCTACAATCGCCAAGTACTCGAAAGATTTCGAAAACGAGTCAACAGAGTGCGCCCAGACATTTCTCGTTCCTGGATCCTTCTCCATGACAACGCGCCGTGCCACACAATTAAAAACAGAATTTCGTTGAAGAAACCTCTTAAAATAGACCTTAATTATGGTAAAAATTGTAAAAAAAGTGACCAAATTCCTCTCGTCAAAAATAAAATATACACCCAGCACCAATTCCAATTTCTCACCCGGAGTTCACGAGATCTACCCTATATTCGAATTCATAAGGTAAAATGAAGAATAGTAATTCCTATTCTCATTTTTTACTGGCTTAGACACCGCTTACCCGATTATAGCCGAATTTATAACATTGCGCCATTTCTGTTTTTCGCTGTATGGTGCCAAGTTCAGCCAGGTTTTTCTCAACCTGGTGTTTCCTACAGTGTGAAAGTCTTCCCCTTCCTCGGCTTCCACCTGCGGTTACTGCACCGAAATCTTTCAAAGCTGGAGTATTCTTATCCATCCGAACCACATGACCTAGCCAGCCCAACCGTTGTTTGTTGATTCGCTGAACTATGCCTATCTCGCCGTATAACTCATACAGTTCATCATTCCATCGTCTGCGTTATTCTCCGTTCCCAACTCGTAGAGGGCAATAAATCTTGCGCAAAACAATGTTCACTCTCCGCGACCTCAAACTTTTTTGCAACCGAGTTTGCTACCCGAACTCCTTCAAGACCCATTGAGCTTGCTAAATACATTTTTGTATCATTATAAACATTTTCCCCACACCTAAACATCATCTTGCTACTACAATCTAAAGCTTAGTCAGCATGAAAACAAAGCTTTGTATATCTAAGAAGAGGGAGAAATTAAGTGCTTCCGGCGCTCCTACTTTCGTTCAGCTCTCCTATGATATATGTACAGAGCTATCATGATAAACAGGGAAAAGGGATGAAAAGCACCTTTCCAGATTCATGTAGATTTCCTTGGGAAGTACGGAATGACGAACTATGTTAGGGTTTGTAGAATCTATAACAAATATGCCACTGGGATTGGTCGACTTTTTGGACAGAGTGGGAAGCGAACTGCTCTAAACGATATCTTAATCCCGAGAAATCGAAACAATATATCTTTGAACTTCATCAATTTTTTTTCAGAGCCTTCTACTCAGACATACTTGGTGAATATGAAGAATACATAACGAAGCTTTTCAATTATGACAAAGTTTTACCAATGAACACTGGTGTTGAGGGTTGTGAAACCGCTTGTAAAATTGCACGTGCCTGGGCGTATATGAAGAAGAAGGTGCCAGACAATCAAGCCAAGGTTTGTGTGTGCATTTCATATTCCCTATTTAACTATGTTTAACCAAAAATAAAAATAAACATTCTAACTTTTAGATACTCTTCGCCGAGAATAACTTCTGGGGTCGCACCTTAGCTGCCATTTCAGCCTCAACTGATCCAATGAGTTATGAGAACTTTGGGCCCTACATGCCTGGTTTTGAAATCATCAAATACAACAATACTGAATCTCTGGAGGTGGGTCTCTTCATAATATTTCGTATCAACTATACTAAATTTGTATCTCTTATTTTTTTTTTACACCTACAGAAAGCTCTGCAAGATCCCAATGTATGCGCCTTTATGGTTGAACCAATTCAAGGTGAAGCCGGTGTTGTCGTACCAGATGCTGGTTATCTGCAGAAGGTACGCGAGCTTTGCACCAAATACAATGTGCTGTGGATTGCGGACGAGGTACAAACGGGTTTGGCGCGTACTGGACGCATGCTGGCTGTCGATCATGAAAATGTCAGACCAGACATACTCATTTTGGGTAAAGCGCTGTCGGGTGGTCTCTACCCCGTCTCTGCGGTTTTGGCTAATGATCCAATCATGGAATGCATACAACCCGGCCGTCATGGCTCCACCTATGGTGGTAATCCATTGGGTTGTAAAGTGGCAATCAGTGCACTCGAAGTGCTGCAGGAGGAACGTCTAGCAGAGAATGCGGAGAAAATGGGAAATTTATTGCGTAGCGAACTTAGCAATCTGCCAAAAGATGTGGTGAGCATAGTGCGTGGTAAGGGATTGCTGAATGCGATTGTAATCAATAAAAGTGAGTAAAAAAATGGGAGGATTTTGAATAATTTGAAATAAAATGTGTAAATTTAATATTTAACAGAATTCGATGCATGGAATATTTGCTTGAAATTGCGTGATAACGGTCTTCTTGCCAAACCTACGCACGGCGACATCATACGCTTTGCGCCGCCACTTGTTATTACCGAGGAGCAAACACGTGAATGCGCTGAAATCATCAAGAAAACTATACTGAATTTTTGAAAAAAAAAATTTCAAACAAAATATTGTGTAAAAAAATATATTTTCTAGAATTGTAACATAAGCATGTATGTACATATGTATACACTTGTAGATATTTAATTTAATGTGTAAAAGAAAATTTTTTTATATTTGCTTCATTGGGCTTGAAAAGCTTAATTTAGTATAAGTGTCGTGTTAAACACCAGCTGTAATTAAATAAAATATAAAACGTAAATATTTGAAATTCTAATGCAGTAAAAAAAATAAGTCGATGCAACCTTTTTTGCGCTTCAATAAGTGTAAATATAAAACTTTAAGCATAGAAAAAATCAGTGTCTCTTTGAATCGTTTGATGTTAACCACCCGCCAGGAAAAGCTGACAAATATCGCTCAGCACACAATTGACTAAAGTGTGTCAGATTTGGTGAAAAAAATAAGGATACAACAAAACCACCACCACCACCACCACTCACACACACAGCACCCACCCGCCTTGAAAGTGTCAATGTCCTTCGGCAGAAGTTTATAAAATTTCGTTAAAATATCAAAAATGACAGTCAAAAAGCAAACGGAAGTTTAATATTGACAAAGAAATGGTATAACATCCACTCATCAAGCGACGTTTGAAACCATAAAGATAAACATTAAAAGCGAAACGCACCGTCCGGTCATAGCCGAGCGGCAATAGTCGTATCGTAGTATTTAAAATGAGCGAAAAACCATGTTGAAAGAAATAAAAAAAAATCAAATAATGCAAATACTTGGGCGCGATATACTGTAAGTCGGTGGGTCTTCAATACCCCTGCCATTAACACTACGTTGGAATACCACACGGTGATGAAAAAAAAATAATTATCGATTTTAACGTTTTAATTAAAAAATATAAAAGTCGACTGTAAAGGAAATGCAATGCCAGGCACTGAAGGTCACCAGCAAGCAAAAAATACACACACAAGCACAGCTATCTATACACACTCACATCTATGCATGAAAGTACTTATAAGGAAAATCATTTTTGACATCTTAAAGAAATTAAGCGCGTCACAAAGTGATAACCTTCTCTCCACACAATAGAGTCAAAGAGCATGAAATTATTAACACAATAAAAAATTATGGGCAAACCGCAGTGGGTAAATAATCGTAAAAAAATATCATTCAATGGTGGTGAATGTGAGATGCATTAAAAAATCTTGAAAGCAGAAAATAAAAATACAATTTCTTCGAAAGTGTATCTAAAAAACAATACGTTATGCCTCCGTATTGGCAGGCAATGGGCTTAGTTAGTGGCATCATTTAATTCAAATCATCGTTTTCTTTAATGGCACTCAAGCTCTTATCCTATAAATTATAGCGTCAGATCGAAACGCTGCGGAAGTCGTTCTGGAAAATAGTCAGCTTTTAAAAACTTGCATTAATACATCGATTTAGGAAACATGGCCGACCTAGAACACATCACGTTTGGACTGTAATTATTCCCGTCTTGGGCATCAATTCGTATTATCACTTTCGACCGCGGGATAATTATCAATTTTTATACTGATATGATCCGGCTATGATTCAGTTTTAGTTTGACAGATATTTACTCGAAATTTAATAAACGAGGAATAAAGAATTATGAATTTACTTTTATGTACATCATCTGGCATTATCAGCCAATTTGGTTAAGCAGTTTGTCGTTGACTACTGAAAAGTTTAGTCACGTTCCTGTGCGCTCTCCGATTTTTGACATTTAAACAAAAAACAAATTAGTGTCGCTTATGAGCTATTGCATCACGTCAAGGATGATTTAGGTTTGCTCGAAAGGGTCATAACTAGTGACGGTTATGACGTCGAAACCAAGACCCAATCATCCAAATTGAAACGGTCCGATGAGCTAAGACCGTAGAGTGAAAAATCGGATGGCACTCAAAAACGTAAAAATTCTACTAATTTCTGAGGCGAACGGTGGCTGGTAATAAAAGGTGGATAACTTACAGCAACATCAAACGTTTGTGGTCGGAGAGCAGTATGCCAGTGCAAGCGGTCTCCAAGTCAGAACTGTCAACAAGGAAGGTTTTGTTGTGTGTATCGTGGAATTGGCAAAGGAAACATTCACTCCCCTATGGTCGAACACTTAATTTAGATCTGTACTGCCAGCAATTGGACCACCGAAAGGAAGCAATCGCCCATAAGCACCCAGCTTTGGTCAACAGAAGGTGAATTGCATTTCATTAGAATAACACCAGACCACACACATCGATAGTGGCTTGACGTCAGTGACATCCGTAAGAGAGAAATCAAGATTGATTTGATTTTTTCCGCTAAACCGTATATTAGATTCGAACATATAAATTATATACGTGTATGTAATTTGATGGCGAAAATTGTAAATTTGCTTGTATGCATGCAACCTTTCAGTCGGAGCTCGTTGCAAACTGGTGTTGTTTCTGAAGCGAATTTTCAATGAGGCTAAGGAACAGACATAGTTAGTCCTTGTAGTCAGTTGATGGCAGTGCTCCGGTTAACAGGATAGCAACCGACCATTTAACTCTCTCTCTCTAATTTGCTCCTGAAGGTAATTTTGTCGAGTGCTGACTTCCAAACGATGACGCCATTGAGTACGATTGATCTAACTACCAAGGTATGCATCCAGTAAACGATACACGGTCTTAGACACCATCTTTTTCCTATCGCCATTTTGCACGCGTAAAGTGCAGTTATAGCTTTCCTTCATCGTTCTGCCGTGTTCCGGCTCCAGTTGAGTTGGCTAACTAAGATAATCCCGAGATATTTGACTTATCTAGAGAGGGTGATCTCTACGCCCTTTAGTATGGGTGACTTAAATGGAGGCGGTCTGTATGGTATATAGAACCTAATCAACGTGCTTGCTATTAGATACCAGAGCTGTGGCGATAAAACTCCTCCTTAAGAGGTACCACATATTGTATGCCTTATGATGCTGGTGCTACCTATCACTGCGAAAATGACCCTGTTGCTCAGAAAAAACTGCACACGATGCGCCTTGGGCTGTTGAAGTCCCATTTCTTGTAGAGTCTCTATTGCGGATACCGGAAGAATTTTGTTCAAAGCCCCCTCAATATCGAGTAAGATACCAAGCGTATACTTTTTGAGGAAAGTCATTTTTCGATCCATCCGACTAAATCATGACACTCTCACTGCGTTAATGTGAATATAGTTGTTTCGATATACCAATGATGTGCAGGCAACATCAGGACACTTCCTCAAGGAGGTTTTGTGACTGGCTTGTAATTTACTCATCAAGCGCGTCTAAATCAATGCGATGTAGCTTATGATCAACTCCCACCGACAGCTTGTTGATCCCACATATGAATTAAAGAAAATTCATAAATGTATGTACATATGTAAGTACGGCAAATTGGACTTAAGAAAAAGATGACTAACTTAGTTTAGTTCTTATTTCTTTGTATCAAATATTCGCACGGAGGATCTTAATCCAACCTTAGTCTCGATAGAAGTAATCGAAGCGAACAGAATGTAGGTGGTCTCATAGAAACGCTTCTTTTACGATCAGCGATACATACCTATGTCCAATGCGACTTGCTTAGGGTTCGACGCTGAAGTTAGTTTTCATTTCAGATGCTATCTCAAAAGGAAATACCCAATTTTAGCATTATGACCAAAACAATGTGGCTAACTGAGGATTATAATTGATGACGAGGCTTGTCTTCCCGACTATAGGTATTTCCCTTTAAGGACCTCTCTTGAGCACATACGCGGACAGACTTGGTCTTAATGTACTTGTACTGCAAAGAAGGGGCGACAAAATTCAGATACCTTATCGAAATAATAAAACTAAATCCCACCGTCAACATACTAATTGGACCTTATCGGTGTGGCTTCCGACCTGGTAAGTCAAACATTTACCAGATACGCACCATGCGCCATATCTTGGAAAAGACCCATGAAAATACGATTGGCACACCTCATTTCTTCGTCAATTTTAAAGTAGCCTTCGACAGCACGAATAGAACCTGCCTTGACGTCGCTATGACTGAATTGGGTATCCCCGCAAAACTTATATAGCTGTGTAGACTGACGCTAGACATGACCAGAAGAGTAGTCGGAATTGTGAAGGACCTCTCCGAGACTGGAGAAAAAAATAAGAACTGCAAAGCTGAATAGAAATGGATATAAGAGTGTACAACTACTGGTATAGTAGACGAAATATCTCCTCTCAACAAACAAACAGTCATAGCATTCGGGACTTGGCTCCTACATCACTGTTGTGATAGGTGAGTAGGCAAATAAAAAGTAAAGTCCTCTCTCCACAAACGAAATCTAAACTCTACAAGTCTCTCATCATACCGGTCCTACTATATGGCGCAGAAGCGTGGACGATGTGCACATCTGTTGACTCAGCTCTAGAAGTCCTCGAGAGAAAAGTTTTGCGAACGATTTATGGTCCTTTGCTCGCTGGCAACGGCGAATACCGCTGATGATGGAACGATAAGCTGTATGAGCTATATGATGATACTAACATAGTTCAGCGAATGAAGAGACAGCGGCTACGCTGGCTAAATAATGTCCTCCGAATGGATGGAAGCAATCCAGCTTTGAAAGTATTCGATGCAGTAGCCGCCCGTGGAGGCAAAGGAAGAGGAAGACCTCTACTCCGTTGGAATGATCGGGTGGCGAGTAACCTGTCCGCACTTGGTATTTCCAACTGACGCCAAACAGCCAACGCCACTAAAGAGGAAGAAGCAGAATCGAAATAATAAGAGCGGAGACACTTATTTAACTGAAATTTCTCAACGTCCTGAGTTTGACTAGCCTTATATATGTACATAAGCCCAAATATTCCGAGACTCATCAATTACTTCAATTTAAACTAATTCCAACGATCATTGAAATAATGCGACTAACTTCAGCCATGATACAGTTACTGTCCTTTCTCAGGGATAGGATATTCCTGATGCATTCCACTTATATACGACATAGTATTTAAACATTTTGCACTTTTTTATTACAGCTGAAGTCTTCTTCGGCCGTGCGTCTTCTCCGTGGCGACC